ATTTGATTTTATATTTATATCATTTTTTTTTATATATATATATATATATATAAAAATTCTTTTGACTGGACAGGCAGACAACAGGGCCGCCGTCAAACCGGAAGAACTCGCAATTCCCGCCGCAGACAAGCTTCTCACTTGCAGATGGATTTGTTTGATGACAGCCAGGGAAATGATTATGAGGTGTGAGTTCTGCTAATTCACAGAAATCACATGCTTGACTACAATTCTAAAATGCTGTCTTATCTCTGATGCTGTTTGGTGCTTTGTCAGGCTCTCTTAGCGTTCGAGGAGCAACAAGGTGCTGTAGTAGCCAAGAACACTCTGACAAAGGCCGAGATCGAACGGCTGCCCATAAAAACGTACAATCCCACACACAGCGCAGGAAAAACAGAGTAAGCCACAGAACTGGATGCAACAAAAGAGATTTCCCATAATGCAATAGTTTAATCATACTCTCTTTACAGTTGCCAGATCTGTTTCAGTGAATACAAAGCGGGTGAACGACTCAGGATCCTTCCATGTCTCCACGATTACCACGTCAAATGCATCGACCGCTGGCTAAAGGTCTAGCTTGTTTTAACAACATAATCCCATAATTCACAGTTGCTTTTTACTAATCATTTTCTGTGTTTGTTACAGGAGAACGCCACATGTCCCATCTGCAGAGCGGATATATCAGAGTGTGGTGGTTTTTCTTGAGCGCACGACTTCAGGACTCAGTATCTACCTCACAGCTGGTCATGTTACCCCATTTGACTTTTAAACAGTCTTATTTTGAGTGTTATTAAATGCTTTTTAAATGCAAAATATTGTCTGATGTTTGAACCAGCATAAAGCACTGCCAAGCACTGTTTTATTTAGAAAGATCCTTCTAAAACATATCAGACACGACTGTATCACCCCAGTGGCAACAAACCTGCTAGCAATAGCTGAACTTGAATTTTGGATTTTCAAATAAAATCGCTTCATTTTTTTTGCCCGTTTTTTTATTAAAATGTGTAATTAGGATAATATATGTTGCTGTTACAGTCATTCTATCGCTGTTGTTTATGTAAATATCAAGCAGTGTGCAGCATGTGATTTTATTCACTCTGTTTCGTAATATCGCTTCTTCAAGGCTCTGTACTTCCAGAGGTAACAGCGCCTCGAGCTCTTTCACCACGAATTCTCCTCGGCTGATGAGCTCTTTGATCTTCTCAGGGTCGCTCACATCTTTATTCTTGGCAAACACAGCCCTCAGTCTGTCTCTGAAATAGTCGGCTCCTTTCAGATACTCCCGTTCAAGAAACAGCAACTTCAAGCAGAAGAATCAGAAGAGAAGACAGGATTATACATTTCTAATGCTTAGTCACAGATGTGTGCAGAATGTTTTTATTTTCCCCCCTCCATACTTTAAT